GGCTCCATCAAGTCACTCCCATAATAGCTGTCACCGCTCAAATTAATGCAGGACTCAGATTAACTGTATAGCATGTGTGCAAGACTCCAATACTATTATAAAGTGATTATTTCATCACTAATAAATCTTTCAATGAGTAAAACTGGCTGTGTCTATAGTATTATAGACAACACAACATTATTATATTATTTTCAAATTAATTTTTAAATTATTATTATTTTAAATGATTGTCCCTGGACCAATAGGGTACTCTTGTAATAAAGTAGCAGTGGTTGGGACAGATTTTACGTGTCAATTCTGCTTAAAAAGATGTGATCTAATCCTGTTTACATGAAATAAGCTGCTCCTGAGCAGGTTTAGGTTACGGAGCTATGACAGCAAGTCTAGGATGAGCTTTATTACACTGCTATCCCTTCAGTATTTGCGTTCAAAGCAAACTCAGCTCAGGACAGGATTCAGAAGCTGTTGAGAAGTCCTCCATGGATAGAGTAGGTGATCTTTGGACGACTGCAGTGACCATTTCAGGTTTCTCAAAGTCCTCAACCATTACTGGTAAGGGCATTCTTGATAAGCAATCCATGGCTGAGTTCTGAGCTCCAGGACGGTACACACCCTCTTACGAAAAACACAGCAGCTGGGCTGCTCCTGGTATCTCTTCTGAGATTGCTTGATGCACAGCAAAAGGAAGTTTTTGTTGGACTGACACCACATCATCACAAACATTCACTTTGTGCACAAAGCCTTTCACAAACCCCACTGACTCAGCATTTGTAACACTGTGGACTGGAGCAGAAGGAGCAGAAACAGTAAGAGTATAGTCATGGTGAATAGTACATTTCAGTGCTATTCAAAAACTATTCTAAAAAAACATCACTATTTGATATTATTTGACACTGTATCCAGTACTAGTGTGTTGCTGTGTTTCACAAGGTTTATTACAGATTATGTCATGATGTTCAGTGTCGTACTGAATATTCTCGTTAGTGTGTTCAGATAATGTGGAGCTGCAGCCGCGCTCTCACCAAAACCTCTTATACTGCATTTACCATCTGATAATTAATAAGAAATACCAAACAACTTAAATCACATCTCTGTTTTTCCTGTTTATTCAGGACTTTTCTGTTTTTACACAGAGTCTCTTTCACCTAGAGATCATACTATAGAGACTGTGTCTGTTCCCTGAACTATAAATCACTGATTCTTGAGAAGTGGGACAAAACAGTGTGAAATATTGAAAAAATAAAACCTTGTGCTCAGACAAATTAAACTACATTTGTGTCTTTATTAATTTATTCATGAATCTTACATGTATTAAGCTACTGAGCTATGCTTTGATTCAACCTCCCAACTTTTCTCTTTTATCAAAATGTGCTTTTTACCTTGGACTGTGTAATGTAAATGTAACTTTATCTTTAACAGAGATCAAGGTGTTTTTAACATTTCAAAACACAT